CTGTAATTCCCACCTAAATGCCTAATGGGGTAGTGGTTTGATGTACAGATGTTCAGCTGCCTTGGTTGCTTTCACTCAGGCTTCCTTTTCCTCCCTGTCAGGAGCTGCAGGACCAGATTGATGAGCTGCACTCGGAGCTGGAGGAGTATCATGCCCAAGGCAAAGTGCTCAGGCCTTCCCTGAAGAATTCCTTGTCAGAAGAGTTTGAGATTGATATGAAGAGTCATGGCAACAGTGGGATTGAGCCTGACCAAGGTAAAGAGCATCTGTAGGACCAAGATCTGTGCTGTAGTGCTTTATGGTAACATTCTAGAGGTAATTCTGTAAAAACCTTCCTAGTGAGACTTGGTCATCACCTCTATTTTGGGGTTTAATGTTAGTTTGGAATGTGGCTGCTGGACTGGAATTGAAGCTGAAATTAATATTTGCAGTTATTTCTCTGTGTGATGGGAATTAAGTAGGAGCCTAAACAAATTTAAATTGATTAAGTAATTGTTAGATATTATATAATTCATGGTTTTATAGTAATACATAGGATTAATATAATTTCCTATTTCTGAAGGACTTGGCTCAGAAGACTGTAACCCATTAAACATGAGCATAGAGGCAGAAATGGCCATTGAGCAAATGAAGGAGCAACACCACAGGGATCTACATCACCTCAAACAAGAGCTTGAAGACACAGTAAGTTATTTTGACTTAAAATGACACTTCATGGCTTTTCTAGCCCATTCTTACAGGTGAAATGGTCTTGCGCACAGCAGCATCTGTGTCAGGGTCACGGTGTTCCCAACAAGTGAGACCTACCTTGGTCTGCAGGTGATAGAACTTGAGGGAGTGGCTGGTGCTGTGTCAGGGGAGGTTTAGGCTGGGTATCAGGACAAGTTCTTCTCTCAGAGGTGTTTGGGCACTGGAACAGCTCCCCAGGGCAGTGGTCACAGCCCCAAGCCTGACAGAGCTCCAGGAGTGTTTGGCCAATGCTCTCAGGCACAGGGTGGGTTGTTGGGGTGTCCTGTGCAGGGCAGGAGTTGGACTGATGATCCTTGGGGTCCTTCCAGCTCAGGATATTCTGTGATTGTGAAAGAGGGTGCTGAGACACTGTCACAGGTTGCCCAGAGCAGCTGGGACTGCCCCAGCCCTGGAAGTGTTCCAGGCCAGGCTGGATAGGGCCTTGGAGCAACCTGGGCTGGTGGAAGGTGTCACTACCTACAGCAGAGGGTGGAACAAGATGATCTTTAAGGCTCCTTCCAACCCAGACCAGTCTGTGATTCCATAATCCCAGTAAGAAATGAAGTTGAGCACTTTAGCATTAGGGGAAATCAATATAAGATGCTAATGTATAAGTCAAAATATTCTGTAGAACATATGGAAATATATAATACAGAAATATTGAAGAAAACATCTCATTTCTAAGTTCATCTGGAAAATGAACCAATCCACCCTGTTCTCCTCTCTATAGGTGAGCCATTATGAAAAGCAATTGGATGAGACAAAAACCTGCTGGGAAAAGGAGCAAGAGGATATGAGACAGAAGTACACTGAAGAGATGAATGTCATGGAAAAACAGATAACTGGCCTTAAAAATCAAATAGTAGAGCTGCAGGGAGAGGCAGCAACGCTCAAAGAACAGCAGGAAAAGCTCAACTGTAAATACAATGATGAGAGAAATGAGTTAAAAATGCATTTTGATGAGGAAAAAGCCAACCTGCAAGAACTGTTGAGGCAGGAGCACGAAAAAGATGTTAGAGCCAGACTGGAGCAGGTAAAGGAGGAGTTCAGTCAGGAACGGGAAGAACTGATCCAAAACAGTGTCTGGGTGGAAGAGAAGATGAGAGTTTTGGTGCAGAGGCTGCAGGAGGAGAAGGGAGAGCTGGAACGTGGCTTCCGTGAGCAGCTGAAGAGGCTGGCAGAGGTGCATGCCCTGGAGAAGGAAGAGCTCCAGCAAGAGCTGCTGAGGAAGCATGAGCAGGAGCTGGATGAGGAGAGGTGAGTGTCACTGCTGGTGGGGACAGGAGTGGTGTGCACTGACCTCAATGGCTTGGTGTGGTGACCAGGGTGAACCTAGTGCAGAAACAATTCCTGATGCTTAATCCCAAGTGTACTGACTGTACAGTTCTGTTCCCTGTTTTATTCCACAGCACTGGGCTGCTTTCCAGGGTTTTCTTTCCTTCTGACCTTTCTCAAGCAGATATTTATATTGATTTTTAGCTCACCCAGAGGCAACAAGAGTGTTAAAGCATAACCAGGTGTGATTAACTTGAGCTGTATTCAGGATCCTTGTGCCTTCCAAATTCCTGCTTTGGCTTTGGAAAACATTTGGGGTGTCAGAGTTCTTTGCTGAAGAAGGAAAGGGATGGCTGGGAAATGCTTTTAGCCCAGATTTGAGTGTCAAAAGAAACTGAAACCATCCTGGGGTGATGGGGGCGATGAGGGTATGGACTGCTGCCCCCACAAATCTGAGCACAGAAGGGCATTTACTGCACATGAAACCTGTTCTGAGGACATTTCATGAGCTGTTACACTTTCCCAAGGCAATTAGCTGTTTCTTTGTGAGGTTTGACCAAATTGCCTCACATTTAACTCTGGCTGTCAGAAACACTCATCCAATTGTATGAAACTCTGTGAAAAATTAGCTTCCCAGCTTGTTTCATTCACCCTAAAAAGCCATTTCTGAACCTCTTTGAGGGAGCCCAGAGTTTAGTAATATCTTATGTTAACCATGTTTAGGAAAAAAATGGCAAGTGACTATAACAGAAGAGCATCTCATGCCCAAACTCAGTTTTCTGTGGACACACAAACACTGGTGAATAAATATGAAGAAACCCTCCAAAGCTTGGAAGGACGTTACCAGCGAGAGCTGCGTGAACTTACTGAGCAGCAAAGAGAGGAGAAATCCCAGTGGGAGTTTGAAAAGGATGAAATTGCTCAGGAGGTTGCTGAGGCCCATGAGAAGCTGAAGGAAAGTTTGGCAAATGAAAAGGCTGTTTCTACTGCCCTGACCCAGGAGAAAGATCTCCTGGAGAAGAACTTCAAGGAAGAAGTCAACAAGCTGGTGTGTGAGAGGGAGCAGCTTGAGAAGGAGCTGCAAGACCTGAGGAATGCTGCTGAGGAGCAAGAGAAAAAGCTGAATGAGAAAATAGCCCAACTGCAAAGTAACCATGAAAAAGAGCTAAAGGACAAGGAAGAACATATATCCACAGTGGAAGAAAATGGAAAGCTGGTTAGGCAAAAGCTGGAAAGACTTGACAGTGAGTACAAGCAAGAGAAAGAAGAGCTCAATTCCAAACTTCTTGCTTTGGAGAGTTTAAACAAAGATATTTGTGTAAGAGCAGAGACAGAAAAGGCTGAATTGAGTTTGGAAATCTCAGACCTTCAGGGGAAAATCCAGAAACTGCAGTGGGAGACACATAGTTTTTCTGCCCTCCAAAGCCATTATAGGGCCCTGGAGAGTGAGTATGCAAAAGCCAAGAGCAAAATTGCTGCTTTCTCTGGAGCAGCACCTCTGGGAGATGATGCAGATGTCCTCCAAGGCCTGCAGAAGGTGCACGAGCAAGCTGTGAAGGAGAATGTCAGGATGGCTGCCCAGATTGTCAGGCTGCAGCACCGGCTGCGAGCTGTGGAGCAGGGGCACGTGCAGCCTCCCAGTCCTGACTGCTCTGACTCTGCCTCAGAGCCAGAGGAAATGGATCCCAGTTTTGAAGGGTTGCCCAGTGATTGTGAAGATGCAGAGAAGGGGATGGATTCACATCTTCCACCTTTGGAGGGTGATAGTACAGACCAGGAAGATACAGAGATGGATTTGGCTTTGGAGAAAGGATGTGTGAAAGCCAGAGCTGATGGCCACACACTCAAGACGCAGAGGTGTTGGATGCAAGGAAGTCAAGCAGCTCTGGATGCTGATAGGAATCAGGATTGTGGCAGGAACCAAGAGCTGCTTTCTTGGGTGCCTCTTCTGCCAAAAAACAGAGAACTTGAGAAAGTTCCCAGACCAAAACCACTCCACAATGATGTTCAACAGCAGAAGGCTCATCAGCTAAATCACAGAAGAGCTCCCAAAAATAAAGGGTTTGTTTCTGATGCTTTGAAGCTGCAGGTTGAGCTGGAGAAAGCTGAAGAACTGAGTGAAGCCTCTTTCCTGCTGGATCACACTCCTGGGTCAACAAATGACCTGAGGAGTGTAATAGCTCAGCTTTGGAAAAGGGTGGAAGAGTTAGAAGACAGAGCAATGGCACAGACTGAACTTTTGATGCTGCAAGAAGAAATTCAGGTAGAAAATGAGGATCTGAAAGCTGAAATGATACAGTTAATTGAAAGAAATAAAGTGCTAGAAGACAACCTGCATAGGCTGAGAAGCCTGCATTGCAAACAAGAAGGAAGTGAGCTGGAAAGTGCTGAGCTCAGAGAGGAAAACACACAGCTCCTACACAAAGTCCAAGAATTGGAAGATATCCCAGAAGAAGATGCTCAAGGAAACACAGATGTGCACAGTGACACGTTAGGATGTGGGAAGCTGGAGGAACATCCTGCCACATTTACAGCTCAGCAAGACAAGGATGCCCAAAGTGAGGTGGAAAACACAGAGCTGGAAGGGCCCAACAGAAAGCTGCAGGAGAAACCCACTGCTCTGGCCAACCTCAACACAGTGCACTTCCAGCAGGAAAGAGAGGAGAGGAGCACAGTGACTCATGGCTTGCAGAGCACGTGCACTGAGCTGCAGCAGAAGGTTGATCTTCTGAGGTAATGTACACTTGCCCCACTCCGAGGGCGGCGTGCAGGGCCCTGCAGTAATCCGATGTGCCGCTTAGACACTAACCTAGCGTCCCACCGTGGCTCCATACGCTGTCCAGCTGCTGCTTTAACCACTGTAGTTTAACTCTTGAGTAGCAAACACTGCCATGGACTCTAACTCCTAGCAAGCAGGTTGTTTAATCATGGATAACCACCGTTGGAATGAATAAATGTGTGTGACTTACTCCTCTCTCTGAACGTGACCTAATTCGAGCCGTAAACCAGGAGCGACCTCCCAGCTGTCCTGTCTGTGGATGTAGTCATCATCACAGTCTGTAGCTTATGCTGCAGCAGAAATCCCTGTATTTATATGTCCAAAACCCATGGTAACATTTCCAGAATGCTTTTAGCTTTTACTAATATCACTTCACTCATTTTGTTCCCTTCTAGTCCTGAATGTTGCTCAGAATGCTAAAATTGCTTCTGTTTTTCTCATTGTTTCAGTTAATACTATAGAATTATGGTCAATTGAGATGCTAAAAGTGCTTCTATTTTCCTCAATATTTGACTTAATACTAGAGAATTATTTTTTCCCCAGTTTGGAACCCATCAGGTGATATTGTAAATATCATTATAACAGGGAAAATCATAGGTTTTACCCACTTGTTTTTAACTGCTGGATTTTTTTAATGGATAAAGTGGCTACAAGTGGCTTAATTATTGTTCAGCACCAGCTTCCTGCAGGAAAATGTTCTTTCAGGTGTTTCACCACGGCTAAGTTATTTCTGTGCAGTTGCCTGAGGACAGAAGAGGCATTTTACAGCACTGCAGTTCCCAGAATTTTGGACTCCAGTTGGGGAAACAGCTCACTCTCCTGGTGATCTGCACACTGCAGTGTTATGTTATTTGGAACTTAAGGGCTGAAAAATATGGCAGAATATTAGTGTGATTAGTGTTAGTAGAATGTTAGATTTTAACTTACTTGAGCCATACAAAAACATGCCCCAAAAAGTCCTTTTTTTAAGGAATTGGGGAATGCTTTTACTAAATAAAGGTAAAATATAAACACACCATTTATACCTGAAACATGAAGCACAAAACAAGTCAATTGTAGCTTTGTTTGGAGGTATCACAGGTAGCTCAGGCCTTGTGGTACTCTTTGCTCCCTAGATGTTACACAGAAGCACTTCTCACTTGTCTCATCTCTCTGCCACAGATGTGAGGCTGAGAAGCTCCGAGAGGAAAATGCTGTTCTGAAGACCGAAGTGACTCTATTAAACGAGGAAGGGAGTGCTTCCAGCCTGAAACTGAGGGAGCTCAGTGGATCCCGAGAAGAAATGAGGTGAGAATTCCATGGGGAATGTACCCTGTGATGCCTTCAGGCTCTTGCTGCATGCAGACACTACAGGGAGTTCATCCCTTCTCTGGGCTCCTTCATGTGGTAGGAACTCTACAAATCTGAAATGGGCTTATTTCATGGTGCTGTTGGAAATGCAGCAGGTTGTCAGGTTATTCCTCAGCCTTTTCCCTGCCCCAACCTGTCCTGCCCATTCTTAGAGCCAACGCAGGGGCTTGGTGAGTGGGTCCCTCACTTCAAGAAGGACATTGAGGTGCTGGAGCATGTACAGAGAAGGGCAGTGGAGATGGTGTAGGGTTTGGAGCAAAAATCCTATGAGGAGAGGCTGAGGAAACTGGGGGTGTTTAGCCTGAAGAAGAGCAGGCTCAGGGATGACCTTGTCACTCTCCAACTCCCTGACAGGAGGTTGTAGCCAGGTGGGATCAGTCTCCTCTAACAGGAAACAAGTGACAGGAGAAGAGGATATAATCTCAGGCTGTGCCAAGGGAGGTTTAAGTTAGACATTAGGAAGACTTTCTTCCTAGAAAAGGTGATTAGACACTGGAATGTGCTGCCCAGGGAGGTGGTGGAGTCACCATCCCTGGAGGGGTTTGAGTCACAGAACATGGCACTGAGTGCCACGGTCTAGTTGTCAAGGTGGTGTTAGGTCATGGGTTAGACTGGATGATCTCAGAGGTATTTTCCACCCTGATGGTTTCTGTGATTAGCTGTAGGCACTGAGATGACCTAGTACCACTCACCAGCACAGGACCTACTCTAGGAGCTGACCTGATGCAATTATTTGTGCTTCAGCAAAGGCAGAGAGAGGTAGAGTGGGACAGATTATTCCTGTGTTTTGGTCTTTGGCAAATACAGAACCATCTGTGATCCTGGGATTATTTTTCCTTTCTAGAAAATAACTACATAGGATACTTCAAGGGATTGAGCACTTGCCAAGCTTATGCAGAACAATATGCTGAGCAATAAATACCTACCCAGAATTAGCATTTCTGGTGGTGTTAAATAGCCCATTCTTAGAATCATGGAATCATTCAGGTTGGAAAAGCCCTCTAAGATCATCAAGTTTAACCATTTCCCAGCACTGCCAAGGCCACCAGTTAGCATCCTCAGGTGCCACATCCACATGTTATTTGAGCACTCCCAGGGCTGGTGACTCCACCACTGCCCTGGGCAGCTGTGCCAGGGCTGGGCAACCCTTTCAGTGAAGAAATGTTTCCTAATATCCAATTTAAACCTCCCCTGGCACAACTTAAGGCTGTTTCCTCTTGTCCTACCCTGTAGACATGTATATTAATGAGTGTTTTTAATGTTAATGAGCTTTCATTTTCCCTTAGGCAAAAGATAGAAGCTGTGAGAAAGGAGAAAGTGGCTGTACAAAAGATGGTTGACAACCTGAAAAAGCAGGTACGTGGCCTGAGCCCAGAACCATCTCTGTAGAACCCATCACTGCATAAAAGCCGTTCCTGGGACGGGCATCAGAAAATGACCATTTAATACACTTAAACTTCTTGATAACTGTTCTCATTACCTCTTTGGGCTTGATTTGAAGCTTGTTTGACTTGCTCAGAAGACAGCTGTAATGCTGCAGCCTATAGGCTGAGAGCACTCCCCAGAGTCAACTTGGGAAGTTGATTTCATGCAAATATAAAACTAAAATCTTTGGTTTGTAGTCTTTGTGGCTGATGCTTTGCAGTAGCCCATGGGAAATAGAGGTTTAGTGACTCATTCAGCCTCTACTTACTTCCCAGTGTAGGAATGCTGCCAGCTGTATCCATGTGACCACCACTTGTATTTTAAGGGTGGTTTCTTATGCTGGGCAAAGTAGAAAGTTTAAGTAGTTCTTGCATCTGTGTTCATGTTGGTATTGCTTAGGAAAATTATACTTTCTCAGAATAACCTACTAGGATAACCCTTAAAGTCTTCCTTAGCCTGGCAAAGGGAAGGATGAACAGTGATGTGGTGGGTGACTGATATAACTGGTCTAATTGACACCAGTTATGGGAAATTAACTGGTCAGAAGCACTGCTGAACTGGAGTGACACTTGTCAGATCTTTAATCACCTTATTAGAAAAGAAATATGAAATATGTCATACCCAGGTAGCAGATCTGAAGACCAGAAACCAACAGCTGGACTCTGAGAATACAGAACTTAGCCAGAGGAACTCCAAGAATCAAGCAGATGTGCAGGATCTCAATCAACAGCTGGCAAGGGTGCTCAAGCAAAAGGAAAGGGAAGAGGGAAAGTGTACCCTGGAAGAATGGGAAAAGGAGAGACTGGTACTGAAAGAGGAACTGGAAAACGCCAAAGTAAAGGTATGGGATTATGTTGTCTGTGGTGTGAAAGAATTGAGCTTTCAGGTGCTGTGGAATTGGTTTCCCTGTCTTGGGCTCTGTGTGGCCTTTCACAGCTGAACTGTCCAAGTACTGCCTTAAACATAGCTGCATAAAAACACAGCCCCAGCCACAAGCAGGAGGTAGAAGTGTGCAGCTTTGTCTTGAAAACAGAATTCAGTGATGCCAAATGTTTTCCTGCACAATCTGGCATGGCTGTTGTGTTCATCCAGTGTCATCCCAGCTCCAACCAGTGTCCACTGGCTGCAGTATCCTCAGCTTAACCTTTGTTATTCTGGGTCTCCTAAACTGAAATCTGAGCCTCTTACTTCTTGCAGTCATCAAGTATGGTGTCTTCCTTGGAGATGGAGGTGTCAAAAATGAAGGTTCAAGCTCATCTGTTGGAACAGGAGAACTACATCCTAAAGCAGGAACTGGAGAAGACAAAAGAGGTAAGGCATCCTATTGCCCAGAGCAGCTGTGGCTGCCCCATCCCTGGGAGTGTTCCAGGCCGGGTTGGATGGGGCTTGGAGCAACCTGGGCTAGTAGAAGGTGTTCCTGCCCATGGCAGAGGGTGGAGCTAGGTTTAAGAGTCACTCCCTACCCAAACCATTCTAGGATTGTATTCTGGGTTGGAAATAGTAAATTTCTTTAAGGAAAGGTCATAAGAGTAAGGGAATATAAATCCTCTTGAAACAGTCTCTGGATACAAGTTTGGGTTCACTTAGACTTTGCCAAAAGGTCTTTGGGAGTAGTGGATCTACAAAGAGAAGCTTTGATCAAGGCAAAGATTTAAAGCTCTAATCAAGGAATAGGCAGGGTAAATGGGATACACAGGAAACATTTTGATGCCCATATAGCTCCATTTAAGGACTGAGCTCTTCCAGCATGTCCTGTGAGATAATTCCTATTGCTAAACCCATCTGGAGATGTCTCAGCACCTGAGGATGATTTCCTGGAGGGCTCAATTGTGGCCTCTATAAGCACAGTTCAACTGGCTGTGAATATATGCTAATAAACACAGACAATGAAGGCTACAAATGAGTCAGCTCCCTCATTAGTGCTCCTCAAAGTCACTTTCTGTACAGTGCAAAACACTCATCTGAGGCACCCAATGCTCGGGGTAGATAATGGTCTTAAAAAGCAAAAGCAGCTGAGGCCTGTTCAGTAATGAGTGGATTGTGGCTGGAATGTAATTACAGGCAGGAGAGCCTGGGAGAAGACAGTGTTAGGCTAAGCAGTGTCAGTGGGGAAAAGGATCAGAAATCAGCAGTACAGCTGGGTTTTTTTTACCCGGTGTATTTTACCACATGTTGATTTAGATTAGATATTAGGGAGAAATTCATCCCTGTGAGGGTGCTGAGGCACTGGCACAAGTTGCCCAGAAAAGGTTGCACAGGCTGCTTCATCCCCAGAGGTGTTCAAGGCCAGGTTGGATAGGGTTTTGAACAACCTAATCTAGTAGATGTTCCTGCTTATTCCAATTGGATTGGAACTAGATAGCCTTTAAAGGTGCCTCCCAAGCCAATCAGTTCTGTGATTGTATGGCTTGCATGTCAAATTCTGCAGTAGCACAGGAATGCAACTGAGGGGTTTGTTTTCCACAGCTGCCCAGATGCCCTGATCTCTCTGACCTTCAAAATGAAGTTTCAAGCTTAATTACTAAAAATGAGAAGCTGCAGAAAGAGAAAGAAGCCCTGAGTGAGGAACTGAATAAATTCATTGATAAGGTAAGGAAGAACTGTGAATCCACACCATTACATGCTGCAACAGGCTGTTAAAATTCTTCTGTCATTATCTGTCTCACCATAACCTGTTAAACTACTTTGGATATTTTTTCCTTACCCTCAAGCCAGATAAAGGCTTAATTGCCACTGCTTGGTTTTTTTCTGGTTGGTTTCAGAGAGGAAAGCTTAAATCCTGGAGCACAGCTTTACTGTAATTTGATTATGCAGAAAATTCCAAACATTGCAAGGAGGAGAGGCCTGGATATAAATATTGGAGCAGGACAAGGAAGACAGTGTTCTTGGGCTTTTATTGCAGCTCTAGCACACTGTAACTCTGAACTTGGGCAGCATAACTAGTGTGTACACTATAATGATGATCCTGTTGTGTGGAGGTTCACGCTTGGGAGCTGAGGGGCTTTTTGCTGTCCTGTGTTTTCTGTGCATAGCTGTAACTCCCTCTAGGTTAACCCTCAAAGTCAAATCCTGAGTGATTTAGGCTCGCCAATGTAATCTCATTGCAGGTAGCTCAAGTAAGCTGCTTGGAGAGTGCAATCAGTAGCTTGAAGCAGGAACAAAAGTCCTGGGAGCAGCAGAGTCAGGCACTGAAAGCACAGCTCACAGTCTCACAAGAAAAGGTACAAAACAGTGATTTTTGTTCTGTATTAATGCTGATCAAAAGCATTTTTATCACCTCTTGTAGTGCTTTTTGTCATTAAAGCCCCTTTCTGATGTGTACAAAGATGTCGTGCAGCTAATGGCTGCTTTGTTGGGCTTTCAAAGTGATGCTCTATAAAGAACAAGAGGAAACTTGTTAAGTGCAACGAGGGAATTCTCCCTGGAAACCAGCGATGCTGCTTTGCATCACAGCCAAGTGACTTTTGCCGATTCATTCTGCCTGGTTATTCCTCAAATGTGAGGGTGGTGAGACACTGTCCCAGGTTGCCCAGGGAGGCTGTGGCTGCCCCAGCCCTGGCAGTGTTCACAGCCAGGTTGGCTAAAGCCTTGAGCAACCTGCTCTGGTGGGAGGTGTCCCTGCCCAGGGCAGGGGGTTGGGGCTGGATCATCTCTGAGCTCCATTCCAACCCCTTAACATAGTATAAAAGTACTGCAGAGACTTTGCTGTTGCTCCTGCTCTTCTAGTGGAGGCTCATCTCTCCCCAGGCAAGGAGGGGAGTGACTATCTGGCTGATTGGCTGATCGTGATTGGGATTTCTCCTTGGCCGTAGGCTCCCAGGAAGAATAAATAATTGAAGGGAAATCTTCTCTTCCAGTATATCGTGGTAAATGTTCAGGGCTGGAAGATCTCTCTGGTGAATGCAGCATGAAATCATTTAGGTGGAAAAGCTCTCTAACATTGAGTCTAACCATTCCCCCAGCACTGCCAAGGCCACTACTAACCATGTCCCGAAATGCCACATCCACATGGTAAATCCCTCCAGGGATGGTGATTCCACCCCTGCCTTGGGCAGCTGTGCAAGGGCTGGCAAGCCCTTACTGTGGTGAAATTGTCTCTAATATCCAATCTAAACCTTCCCTGCACTTGAGGCTGTTTCCTCTTGTCCTGTCACTTATGTGGAAGAAGAGCCTGACCCCACCTGGATACAACCTCCTGTCAGGGAGTTGTAGGGAGCAATAAACTCAATTCAGCATTTTCAAAGGGGCTCTCAGTGCTATAACTTCTTCACTCCTTCCACCAGAGATGCTAAATACATGTGATACCTTGTCCATACACATCCCAGCAGGCCAACCTTACAGGAAATCTTGGTCCAGCAAATTCCAAGCTTTATTCCCGCTCATTACAGGTTCAGAGCCTTGATGAAACCCTGCAAAGTACCAACCTCCAAGTGTCCAGGCTGAAATCAGACCTAAGGGTGATACAACAGGAGAAGGAAACTCTGCAACAAGAAGTGATGTCATTAAACAAACAATTGCAGAATGCCAGTGAAAAGGTAAAGGGCTTCAGGCGCCTCAGAAGTTAACTCTAGTCATTGTACATTGTGTATAATGTGTAGATTTTAAACTGAGTTTTTGAAACCTTAAGTGTTGAACATTAGGACAGGCAATGATCACTCTCCTGAGTCTCCATTCTTCCCTGAAAAAACCCTTTTGCCAAAAAACCCCGAAGTTGTGGACCGTGTATGAATTTACACCTATCAGCTATGAAAATTAACCAGCTAGTAATTGATACAGGATCTAATTTCCAGTCCAATTTGGGTTTGAAAGGCACAAAATTACACCCACCCCTCTTAACTAATAAGGATTTGTAACTGAAGGAGGCTGTAGGCAGGAGTCTTGGGATTGGTATCATGAATCCAGTTAGTAATTTGGCTTGTTTGCCACGTAATTAAGAAATATTTAATGTCCACATGGGAAGGACTGTTTCAGAATTGTACACCAGGAGCTAAATTACAGCTATTACTGAATAATGGATTATACTGAGTTTTATTTTGCTCTAAATTGCCTTTTTTTGTGGTGTTGAGCTCTGTGCACTCATTCTGCATGTAGCTATTAGCCAGAATTTTAGTCAAGGGAAACACTTGGGCTTTGCACATTGGGTTTCTTAGGGGAAAACAGTGTGTAGACTGGGAGGGAAATGGGAATGCTGCGACTTTAGAGTCTGCAGTTACCAAAAGTCTACATAAAACCCCACCTGAATAGAGAAAATATCTGCTTCTTTGTTTAAGGCCTAACCCTGCAATTCTGTCTGTCTTAAGAATCGGGTTCTCGAAGTGGCTGTGCCTTCCTCAGGGCTGCAGGACCAGCAGGGGCCAATGCACTGGGATGAGCTGGAGCAGCTGACGGAACCGGAGCAGCAGCTGCTCAGGCAGGAGAATGAGAGGCTGCAGGGAGAAGTGCAGAGCACTAAAACAGACCTGGCTCACTCCAGGGAGAAGGTAACCTGAGCAAGCTGATGACAGAAGGGTTGGGGTTGGAAGGGAGTTCTGGAGAGTATCTAGTCCAAGCCCCTGCTGAGGCAGGTTCAGCTAGAGCAGGTTGCACAGGATCACACCCAGGCAGGCTTTGAGTACCTCTTGAGATATGTTTGAGATTCAGAGTAGATGTTAGGAGAAATGTTTTCCCTGTCAGGGTGTTCAGACACTGGAATTTTGCCCAGGAGGTGGTGGAGTCACCATCCCTGGAGGTGTTTGAGGTGTCTGGATCTGGCGCTGGAGGATATGGTTTAGGGGTTACAGTAGTAACAGGTTAATGGTTGGACTTGATCTCAGAGGTCTCCTCCAGCCTTGATGATTCTGTGATCTCCAGAGAAGGAGACTCTGCAATGCTCTTAGGATATTTCTCTGCTTTAAAAGAAAATCCTGATAATTCTTGTCCAAGATTCTGGTCCAATTTCCAGTTAATACTTTTCAAATTTTTCTTTTGAAAGAAGATTCTTAATATTCCTAACATTCTTATGCAATTCCTTGGCTCACAGTATTAGGCAGATTATGGGGAGGAGAAAGGGAAAGAAGGACAAGGTGACCAAAGCTAAAATGTCAAAAATACCCCAGAGTTGCTCAGAGCAGCTGTGATTGCCCCATTCCTGGGAGTGTTCCAGACCAGGTTGGATGGGGCTTGGAGCAACCTGGGCTGGTGGAAGATGTCCCTGCCCAGGGCAGGAAGTGAAACAAAATGAGCTTTAAGGTCCTTCCAACCCAAACCATTCTAGGATTCTATGAGTCCAAAATTGGTTGGTGCTCATTATTTTTGATGAAATAGATGCAAATTTTGAGTGGTCTGGAATAGCTTTCCACATTTGTTCTTCTCTGATCTCTTTAGATCCGACAGTTGGAATCTACAATCCTTTCCCTAAAGCACCAGAAGCATCAAAGCCAGTCAGGTATTGTCAAAGCCATAGAGCAAGAGAAACTGAGCTTGAAGAGAGAGTGTGAACAGCTGCAGAAGGAGTTGTCATCTGCAAACAGGAAGGTTAGTTTGGGATGCTAAATAAAGGACACATTGCAGTAGTTTCCATCTCTTAAGAGTTCAAGTGTTAAGCTGTAACTTGTTTTACTCTGGGTGTTGTGCTCTGCCTCCTCCAAGTCCCTGTGCCAAGGAGCTGACTGTGCTCTGGGCATCTGCAGGGCATGTGGTGCTGTATGACATCACTTGTAGCATTACACCTGTCCAAATACTCCTGGTTTTTAGTCTTGAATTGTACTGATATTCAGTGACTGATGACTTGTGTATTGGGGGGGAAAAAAGAAGCAAAAGAAAGAAACTGCTACTTTTAAGGAAGCTTATTGTCTCTAACAGATCAGTCAGATGAATTCCCTGGAACGTGAACTGGAAACCAGCTCAGAAAATGAAGGGCTAAGAAAAAAGCAAGTCAAGCTGGATGATCAGTTGATGGAGGTACTTTGCCAGCAATGCTGAATGTGGGGCTCTATCACTATCTCACTGAACTGATGCATTTACTTTAAAACAGTTTCTAGGTGTGCAGGAACAGAGGAAACCAATTAGAGCTAGAAGAGTTACTCTCTAATGCCTAACCTCATCTTTCATGACTAAGAACTTAGTGTGACAAATGTTGTGGCTTATCATAATTCACATAAGGCTTCAGATATAAAATCAAATTGCAAAGAAACTTGCTTCTGTGCTTCAGACAAGGCTAACATTTTCTTCTTCCTTCCTAAAATATCACCTCAAGTTTTCTAACTCATGTTTGTGTGATTCTGCTCTTAGTGTAGAAACCTGTTCTTATTTACTGTAGGAATAATTTGCTGAACTCTCTTATCCAGGTTGTGATCAAATAACAATTTGCGCAGCTTACTGTGAAAGCTTCACTTGAGAGACTCTTCCCAAACCTGCTCTAAAAGTGCTGCTGGAGGTGGATCATGCTGGATATCAGAACTTCCTAACTCTTGGGAGTCCTTGGTTATAGGGATGGGCAAGATGTACTGTTTAGTGTGTCCCTTAAGGTCAGACCAGAGCTGAGTTGTCTCTCAGCAGTCTTGCCTAGATTTCATGTTCTGGATTTGAGTTTAAAACATAATATATAAATAGAATCCCACAATTTTGACTTGTTCCATAAGTCAAAGCATCTTCTAGACAAGGCATTTATAACACTCTTTATCAAACTACTTCATGTTTTCCACCAGGAGAGCAAATGGGAAACATTATGCTGAATGTCCTCTATAATTAACTATAAAATTGTGAAAACTTGATTAGAAAAGATGAGATTTTGACAAGTTAATGAAAAGACTGTTTATGTTCCCTGGGTTTTATTGATACAGTCTTAATTAAGCTTTGGGAAAATGCCAAACAGTGCTAAACCCTTTGGTACAAACACCAAGCATGGGATTATGTTTCCTCCTAAAATGTGCATTTCAAACACACAGGATCTTGTGCTAATGATAATATTTTCCCAGCAGGTGTGTATAACCTTCACATAGTGCTTTGTGACTTCTAACTCTCTCTTTTGTGCCTGTTCTCCTTCTGTCCATGGCTAACCTGGCTAGAACTCAGTGGTTGGAGCTAGCAGAGAAGGGTGCAGTTCTCTCTCTGAAATAGTGTGCGAAGGTAGAGCAATGATTTTTCATGTACCACCATAGCATGGACAAAACATTCCTTTTTTTTAAATGGATTTCTTTATTTATTCCATGCATCTTTGAAGTGAAGAAGCCACTATTCATTTTAATGCCAATTCCTGACAGCTGCACCAAGTTCTTTGTGGCTAGCATGTTGTCAGCATGATTGTGTGTGCTAAGAAACTGAGGATTTCTAGGGCACTGCCATGATTATGGGAGGGGGGGGGAATAACCCAATTGCATTCAAAAGAGTTAAAATTGAAAGTGGGAAAATGAAAAGTGGCTCCACTCCTCCTTACTAACCCATTGACTGTGAGGCTTGAAGGTGTTTGCATATTTACCCCTGGCAGCTGCATGCTTTTTCCCCAGAATTAACTCCTTCAGTTATCTGTGATCCCATTTGGCATCATCCTCATAGTTCAGCAAGTTCATTTTTATTCCATTTTCTTCCTCTGATGGATACAGCAACCAAAAAATACTGTTTGCATTATTGTTTCATTAGTACTTCTGTTTAAGGTGCTGTTAGCACTAATTGACTGTTTCTTTATTAGATCCTCATATGCTTCACATTACAGGAACTCCTAAATAAATTCCACCAACACCTCATGATTTCCATTGTTTATATTGTCAGGAAAAGAACAGCTCCTTTATAGATGGTTTGATGCAAGAGAACCCCTAGATAGCTTATAAAAAGCACAAATAATGTTATTTTGAAGTACTTATAAACCTGTTTTCCGCTTACCTGGGGCAGCAGAGACTTGGAGATGGTAACAGGCCCAGAAGAGCTGCACCACTGTGAAAAACAGTTCTAGGTGAACTCAGAATATGATTCCAAATCGAGGCCTAAATTCTACTACTTGTGAAAGGAAAATTAAAATCACTTGTGAAAGGGAATTAAAACCACTAACATAATGTTATACACCTTTTCCTGAGGGAACAGAGTAATGGTTTGGAGATAACAGGTGAGAATTTGATGGGATCGACTGGGAAGAAATTATTAATGTTATGTAAATTCAGCTGCAGATCAGCTTGTCTGAAACCTCAGGGGGTTTTACTGTGCAGTTCTGGCCTTTGTTAGTATTATTAACTGTGACAACTGAGTTTGTCTTAGTTAGGTTTTACTTTACTCTGGAAAAATGCTAAATTTTTCATGTCACTGTCTTAGCTCTTAATATTTCTACAGTTAGTGAACATAAGCAAAGATATATAGGGTTTTCAGTAGTCAGTTCTGAGTGTAATGCAGCAGCTGGCATCAAATTGCTGAAGTCATTGTAGATGGCACCAAAAATTTGTTGTGCTTTGAGAATGTTCCCTCTCCAGCCTAGATTAGAGACCAGAAATAATCAGCACAGCTTCATGCTAGTGCTTTCATTTGTAAGCAGATACTGTTTTTAGAAGAGCTGCTGAGATTAAGGTTAAAATTAAACATTTAAAATTAAAAAAGACTATGAAGTTAATACCGAACTTTGGCAGATTTCACCAGAGATTCAGTGATTTTTATATATCAAATTCAGGTCTGAAATGACAAATCAAAGCACATATTCCTTTAGACTTCAGAACTGCATGTAGAGTTGCATCTTTTCATTGGAAGAAGTTGTTTATTTAGCCTTTTTTACTAAGTTCAGCCTTGTTTCTCTTGCATACAAGAAATCTGGAAGTAAGCTGATGCCTAGTGAGGACACCTTGTTGGAGCAGCAGTGCTGATGGCTGATGTTTTTACCTCCTCAGATGCTCCACTCCAGCGCCAGTGTGATGCTTAGCCAGAGCCCACACTCCCGGGAGCTCCAGCAGCAAGGCTGTGCCATGGTGCCCAAGGAACAGTTCCTGCAGCTCCAACACCAGCTACTCCAAGCAGAGAGGAGGAGTCAACGTCTTCAGGAAGAGCTTGAAAGTAGACCCTCTGAAACAAACATGCAGCAGGTAAGGCTCTCACTGATCAGTAGGGTATGACTTTATAGGGTATCTGGTTGGTTGTCTTGGTTTTTCAGTGCTGGTGAGATCCATTCTCTGTTTATGCCAGTTCAAAAATTAAAGTCCCTTTCCTTGAAGATATTTACAAAATGATGTTATTTAGCATATTTAGCCTGAGCCACGGCTTAATTCTGAAGTCCTTGTAGTCTTTTTTAAATCAAACCCACTCCCATCCACGTTCAGTTGGCGTTGCCCCCTCTGATCACTGTGCAGTGAGTGTTTATAGCAGGTTTTTTGCTTTATTTCCTTAATATCCGTATCCTGAACCATTATTTTAACAAGTGCAGCACAGCAGGTATTGCACATACCCATCACAGAAAATCCCAGTTTGGGCTGTGGCTGTCACATGGAGTCCTGTCAGCTGGAGCAGAGCAGGACGCAAACAAATTAATCCTTTTTAGAAGGTCAATCTTCGTGGTTTGGCCATGAGACAAGATACTGTTTGGAGAGCAGTTAGTGTTTTAGAGAAACTTCTGAGGAAAGCCAATCTAATTCCAAGGAAGATTAATTACATCCACCACCCATATGGGACAAAGGCACTTCTAGTGTTGTTTGGGGACTTGTAGATTGTAAATCTGAATTACAGGTGATGAAAATTTTTGCTTCTCCCATATAACAATTAAGCTTGGGACTCAGCTTTGCCACATGACCCTTTACTTCAACAAGTAATTAAATCTGCAAATCTCTGAAGCTTTGGCTCAGGCCATATAGGTCTTAAAATAGTATTTAGCTTATGAGAAAAGATAAAGCTCCAAATAACTTGAATAAAATACTGAGTATCTGTTTATCTGTTAGACAGAGATAAATTAGATAAAATACTATTAATAGTTTAATTATTAATAGTTTAGTATTAATCTGTTAGCAGCAAAAACCCTTACATTTTAAACTCAGGTTTCAGTTACACTTAATAAGACCAAGACTTTGAAGCTCAAAAGTCTTTGACCATGGTCATAGGGTATTCCAGAAAAAAAGGTATTTTGGAGAGAGCACATGCAGTAAACAGTTTTTAAAGCTTCCAAAGCTGGAGTGAGAATTCCTTTTCAAGAAAGACATAACTCAAAGTGTTCCTTCAAAAAAACCCTAGAATTTAAAGCAAATAATAGAAGAAGTAGAAGCAAATCGATGGTAAGGTTTTGTCCTCCTCAGAAGTGCAGCACCCCACAGGCTGCTGCACTTGGTCTCATGGAGAGCAGAGGGTGCAAGTCAGAAACCAATGGAAGGCACATTGCAGCAGTGGCAGCTGCAGATGGATGTGCTTGAGTGTTGCATTAGGAGTGATGACTTGGTAGCTTTGCTTTTGAAAGCCTGAGAAACAATCTGCAAACTAGTCACTTCCTGGAACGTATAGTACTAGAGATAAATCACTTCTGCCTTTCCTGTAAGAGCTTTAATTCTTGAAAGCTTCATGGATTTAAAAACACTTGCAGTGAGGCTTTGCAAATATTTGCTGTTCGTGCACTAATGTACTTCCTCCTCCTAATTTTTCTTTTTTTTTCCTTTAAGTGAGTGGATATTGTGGTTTGTAACTTTTTCATGTGCTTCACACTAGTTAACTCTCTAAATAACTATTAAACACGTGCAATCTACAACTGACATTTGTCTCAACTCTGCCCCTTCTGTAAGCACATCCTGCTTTAATTCTCACTGGTGATGTATCTTCACCATCCTGATTCCTAGGGCTAACATCTAGTTGAGCTTCTGTCCATTGTAATGTTCCTTTAGCACCTTGACAACTTGCATCCTAATCCCTCTTCACCATCTTTTTGCCAGTGAGTACGATGTCAGGTTCTCTCCATGCTTTGTGTAAAAGTAATCACCAAGTTTTGCTGCTGCTTTGCACTTTGCAGCCTTTTTGGATCCTGTGTAATGAGAAATGCTCGGCTATCCCACTCCAGTTTTTATTTGGAATTGTTGTGTTCCTCCTGCTCTGCAGTTTTCATTGCTTTTTGATCATGGTGTTCTCATTTGACAGTCAGTGTTGAGCTCTTTTCCTCCCAGGGCTGCTGGCATATGATTAAATGTCATTCAATTAAGTTAAATTAAAACTCCTAAACTGTTTCTACTGTTAACCTGTCTGAACTCTCCTGAATTCCCAGTGACTTTCTGCTGTGTCTAGTGCTGTAATTTCTACCTGCTGCCCTCCTCAGCAACTAAGTCTGGGAGCCTGTTAAAGCCCCAATATTTCCCAGAGTTTTCCTGGAGCCTCTGCTCACCATATTTTTGGTCAGAGTACTTAAGTCTCTCAACTTCCCCTCTGTTCAGCTCTGTACTTCAGGACTCACCTCACCCCTGACCTGCTGCTCATTCCCTCTGAGGGAAAGGCTTACAGCCAGGTTTAGACTAGAAATGCAAAATTATCAAGGGAGCTCAGCTGAGCTACGTTTTTCACAGATGCTCTTTGGGAATCTGAGATTATCTGTATTTATACATATGTATTGGTAGAGATCTCTTCTTCTAATACCTTTATATCCACAGTGGCAGATCATTCCCTCTAAGGAATTTTAATTGCAGTTAATCACTGCCACTGATTCCCTAAAATCCCTCAAAGTCATGGATGAGCCACCTGAAGAGTCCTAACCTCTAGTAAATACACACAGAGTCTCTCAGTTGCCCATGTGTAGTGAATACCAGTACTTAAAGATACATGATGTGTGATGTTCTGCATGTTTTCACTTGTGAGTGTGTTTTGTTGGTCCTGTGTTGCTTTGCTTGGCTTGTATTGGTGATTTGCTTGAAGTAGACTTAAGTTTATTGTCAAGAAACCTCTGGATATCAGGGTGAAGTATCCCACTTGCCTTCTTTCTCTAGGCCTTGCTACCGGAGCAGCGAGCAGTGCATGCAGATTCCTACCGGAGGATCGGGCACCTCTGACAGCTTGGCTGCTTATGATCCCAATTCCTTTCCATCACACACACACTCACACGAACTGGCATAAGCTGAGAAACTTGAGGATCAAATTATTTTCTGCTTTTTGTAAAAAAAAAAAAGGCAAAAAACCCACAACAAAAATCCCACAACAAACCCAAAAGATTAAAAAAAGAAGTCTCCACAGTGTTATTTTATTTCCTATTTATTTGTCTAGAAGTTATTTTGTGAAAGCTCTGAGGGTGTTCTTGTCTTTTTACTTTGTTACAAATGGGTTTTATTTATGCTATTTAAAATGTGGAGTTGGTCAGTATTGAAAGAGCTATTTTTTTTCTCAAATGGTATTAATTTTATATGAGATTTGGAGAAAATCTGGGGTATTTATACTGCATTTTTTGTATAAGATGTATAAACTTTTTAACAGGGGAAAGATGACTTTTTTGGATGTAAATGAAAAATAAAGTGGTTTTTTTAAACATAATGTCTCTTGTCTTCATAGTATCAATAGTTTCAGCTTTGGGAACAAGAATTAACATGTTTTAGACTAAATATTTCTGGCTAATGAACAAAAGCTAACACATTTTAGACAAAATGTCTTTGATATGAGGATTGTCATATCAGGACTCTGGGAAGGGTTTGTGGGGATGGACTTGGGTACATATACTCAGCAGCTGTACCTGCACATTGAGGTGAAATATTTTCATGGCATATTCTGCTCATGTGGCCTGAAAGTACAAAGGCAGTGCCAGAAAAGGGTATTAATACACTTGTTTCTTGGATAACATTCCTTAATCGTCTTTATTTTGTCCCAAATTGCTTGATGAAATTAGATTTTTAATAGGTCAGCAAAAGACCTCTAAGGCCTATGATTTTTCCAGTTGGAGCCATGAACCATTTTAGCTGTTTGGTTGAAAAGCTCTTTTTCCTCCTGTCTTTAATGGCCTTAAAGCAACTACTGTTTGAGCTGGTTTTTCCTATTACACACAATATAAGAGTGAGAACATCCTCAAATCCCCTTTAAGCCAAAAAATAGGGATCACAGGTACTGAGACCACTATAATTCCTTGTTTCCATGTAGCTGCTCACTCCAGGCCCCCTGTAATAGTCAGCCAGGGGTTTGAATTCCAATCAAATTACACAGGATAGCTCGTGATAGCTTGGCTAGAAAATCCCCTCCAAGTTCTGCTTAGCAGTACCTTTTTAATCCAGAAAAATATCCACTCCAGCCACACCGTAAAACTGTGTTCTATCTGACTCTTTTTCATGAAAATTAGTAATCATATAACCCCATACACAGTCTCAAAGAGTTTATGGTGTCACAGCAAATAAAAACATTGTGTGGGCTTTAGTCAGCCCCCCAGGGGGATCCCTCTGTAGTGGTTTAGATGAGCAATTACCTTGAAACACTCCTCCCTCAGTTCTTCATTCATCCTCCCCCACAGCTGTGAAGGTACTTTTGGTTTTGAAGGTGTTTTGTTTTGGGGAGGTTGGTGCTTCTCAAATGACTTCCTAGAATTAGAGCAACAAGTTGGCATTAAGATAAAGAATCCTTTTCCCTGCAGTCAGTGCCTACAATCTCTGATTACAAGTTTTTGTGTAGTTCCTGATGTTTCTAATTTATTTGGGAAATCTTCACGAGTGTTGGTGCGACAGGAACTCTCATGACACAGAGTTAACTGTGCTATGAGTTAGACTCACTGAAGAAAAAGAGGAAAACCAGTTTAGGGTTAATATTTGGAAACATTTAGTTAACAACTAATCTAAAAAGATGTGAAAAATTAAGTTTGAGATAACGTTATCCTATTTTTTCAGAATATTACTCCATTTCCAGGAGGAGAGTTCCCTTGTCAAACATGCCCTTATGACCTCACCTAGAACTGTTAAGGTTTTGATTGGCATTTTGTTTCCCACACTCAACAGAAATCTGGCAGCACTGAAGAACAAAAGAGGGAAATTATCTAGATCTGACTATCATGGTCAAGGCAGAACTTAGAATTTTAACATCAGTTTTTCCTAGTTCTGGTAATTTCAAGTGCAACTTCAACTTGGAAAACTAATGCAATGCTGTGAGTGTCATTTAATTGTTGCCGTAACATTTTGCTTCCATGAAGGGTTTATTAATTTAGCTGACTCCAACCCAGACTGAAGTGTGGAGTGAGCTAATATCTTAAGCATAAACTGGCGAAAAACCCCAAACTGATGAATGTTAACTGATTTTTAAGTGATTTTCACATAAATGTTGCCTTCCAGGGGGGTCATGAGCAGCTCCTGAAAATGATGGAAGAACGTATGATGGATGTTGAACAGAAGCTAAGGCTTGTGAAGAGGCTTCTCCAAGATAAAGTAAATCAGCTGAAAGAACAAGTAAGCATCATAAACTGGCGAAAAACCCCAAACTGATGAATGTTAACTGATTTTTAAGTGATTTTCACATAAATGTTGCCTTCCAGGGGGGTCATGAGCAGCTCCTGAAAATGATGGAAGAACGTATGATGGATGTTGAACAGAAGCTAAGGCTTGTGAAGAGGCTTCTCCAAGATAAAGTAAATCAGCTGAAAGAACAAGTAAGCATCCTTAGTCTTCCTCATCCGCATT